TTGTGTAGAGTGGGAGTGAATGGGAAGGGGTTTGGGTCCATTGGGATGGTGTACAGTGTAACGGGAGTGAATGGAAGGAGTATGGGACTATTGGGATTGTGTCCAATGGAAGTGAACAGGAAGGAATTTGGGTCCATTGGGATTGTGTCCAATGGGAGTGAATGGGAAGGGGTTTGGGACTATTGGGATGGTGGTGAGTGGGAATGAACTGCAAGCAGTTTGGGTCCATTAATTTTCTGTGTTTTGACCTGAACTGGCCTCGAGTGACAGCTTGCTAAACCATTGTATGGACAAGATGAGGATGGGGGTGTGTGGAGGTTTGCCCCTTAACCATGAACACGCACACAGGTTACAACGGCCAGTGCCTAAACTACAGGGAGGTATGAAGTGTATGGGATACCTGGCTCCTGTCCTCTTTCTTCATTGTGGTTGGGCCCCAGAGAGCGTTGACTCCATCGATCGCTACCAACATCCGATGTGTGTCGGGTAAGCACTGTGCCTTCAGCTCTTTAAACAGCACACCCACTGCATCACTGGCATTTTTCACTCGTGTTAAACCCTGGGCAACAGACAGACAAGGATCATGTTGACGTTGTCATTTGCTGCATCTAGTTCCCTGGTTGCCCCTCAGCTGGTTTTCCACCCCCCAACTCACTGGAGTTCAGTTGCTGAGGCCCTCCTGTGCCCATTCAGCAGAAGATGGCCTCAACATTCAAGAAAACAAGGATTCACCTGCCCCTGGTCAAAGGATGGGGCGAGGGGGAATCTAATTGAAACTTTCAGATTACTGAATGGCCTGGACAAAATGGTTGTTGGGAAAATGCTTCCATTGGTAGGAGAGACCAGGACCCGAGGGCACAGCCTTAGACTAAAGGGAAGACCTTTTAGAACGGAGATAAGGAGAAACTTCTTCAGCCAGAGAGTGGTGACTCTATGGAATTCACTGCCACAGAAGGCTGTGTGGGCCAGATCATTGAGTACATTTAAGACTGAGATAGATAGGTTCTTGATTATCAAGGGGATCAAGGGTTACGGGGAAAAGCAGGAGAATGGGGTTGAGTAACATATCAGCCATGATTGAATGGCGGAGCAGACTCGATGGGCCGAATGGCCTAATTTCTGCTCCTATGTCTTATGGTCGATGGGCAACGCTTGCAATGATCTTGCAAGCCATGTTTTTCAAAAATAGTTTGTTCCCAAGACATGGGCAGGCAGGGAGTTGATGGCTACACCAGCTTTTAATGTCCATTTCACAATGCCCCAGAGGGCTACAGTGAACGGTGGGGCCAGAGTCACAGGTAGTCCAGACCGGGTAAGGATGGCAGATCTCCTTCCCGAGAGTGAACCCGGCTGGGTTTTCAGCAGTAAGTTACATGTCACCACTAGGTTAGCTCCTCAGTCCACACCGTCACAAACTCACATGTTACCACTTGCCATGGTGGTATTCAAGCCCATGCCCCCCCCACTCTGGAGACTGGCCTGGGGTCCGGGACTACACAGCCATGACGTGGCCGCGATAAGATGGCAGCTTTGTAAACTGCAAGGGGAGGTTACAGGTCAGCAAATAGGGTTGAAGTGTCTCATCATAGCATCCCCTACAGTGTGGCAGCAGGCCCCTCGGCCCATTGTATCCACACCGACCCTCCACAGACCACCCCACCCAGACCCAAACCCAGACCACCCCCCAACCTGCATTTCCCATGGCCAATCCGCCCAAACCTGCACATCCCTAGGCACTACGGGACAATTTAGCACGGCCAATCCACCCTAACCCGCACATCCCTGGGCACTACGGGACAATTTAGCACGGCCAATCCACCCTAACCCACACATCCCTGGGCACTACGGGACAATTTAGCACACCCAATCCACCCTAACCTGCACATCCCTGGGCACTACAGGACAATGTAGCACGGCCGATCCACCCTAACCTGCACATCTTTGGACTGTGGGAGGAAACTGGAGCACCCGGAGGAAACCCACACAGACACGGGGAGAATGTGCAAACTCCACACAGACAGTCGCCCGAGGGTGGAATCGAACCTGGGTTCCTGGCGCTGTGAGGCAGCTGTGCTAACCACTGAGCCAACGCACCGATCACACGCCACGATGAACATTCGGATGTTCGGCACCTCACCTGGTCCACCACTTCACCCAAAGGTCTTCCTTCCTCAGTCGCCTCCCGCTTACTCCAGGTGTACCTCTGCTGCGTTTTTAACTGTTTGCCAGACAATCGAGACCCAGTTAGCATGGTCAAACTGCACGTTTACACCAGCAATTACCCCGCAGTCCCGCATCGTCGCAGCACTTCCTCTGCCTGGGCCCTCCTCACTGCTTCCCACTTTCAGCTTGGCCAGCCCTGACCCTGAGGGCCCACGGCAGCAGCTTTACCCCCTGCAGTTCAAGGTAAACGCCCCCTGTATCTTACCCACCTTCACCCCCGGGCCTGCGCGCTCGATATTGTAACCAGGAGATTCATCGTTTCCTGGTTAAAAGACCACCTCATTATCCCCACCAAAACATTTCCCTTTGGAGCTGTTGGGAGAAAACCCCTTGTCGCTGCAGATGTTTGAACTGAGCCAGGTGGTTGAATAACTGCTTCACTCCTGGCCGATGGTGCCACCCCTGACCTCCAGCCATGGGTGAGGCCAGGAGATGACTGTGAAATGGCCAGGGCTGACCGGCCAGTGAGAGTTAGCGAATAGACTGAATCTTTGTGGTCAGGGTCTGAGCGTACTGCTCGATTTTTACCTGCTTTAAGAACCGCTCATTGGTAATCTTAAAGTTCCTGAGCCACGTCGAAGCCTCCATGGGCTGGTCAAAGCGAGCCTGCTTGTAAGACGACTGCATCAGCTCTTTGCAATTCTTCACCCACAGATAAGCTGGGTAGGAGACAGACAGGCATGTCAATGTTGCAGTGTACACCAGGCCGCTGTGTGTGTTTGACGGGAGGGGGGTGAAACCGGATAACGACACTTCAGCCCAAGTGGTACAGGAGCCATGCTGTTCAAAGCCATCAGCTCAGCCACTGGAAGCGGTTCCATTTCACTGACTCGTAGCTGGCCCACCTCCAGCTGAGCAGATACTGGGGAGGGCTTGGCTGACCAATCACCTCCTTCCCCTGCAATCCCCGACCAATCACCTCCTTCCCCTGCAATCCCCGACCAATTCCCCCCCTCCCTTTCAATCCCCGACCAATCCCTCCCCTACAATCCCTGACCAATTCTCCCCTTCCCCACAAATCCACCACCAAACCCCAAATAATCCCCCCTTACTCAAACCCCCAAAACAAACCCTGTATTGGCCACCCTCCAAAACCCGAGGCAAACTGAGTCCGAGAAGAGAGAGAAAGGGGGGAAATGGAGAGTGTCCTACCATCTGGGATGTGGATGATTAACCAGTCCTGCCTGGCGCAGTAATGGACTGCATTACACAGGGTGAGTGTTTTTCCACATCCCTTTTCACCATCTGGGAACCCAACGTGTCAAAGAGAGAAACTGACAAAAGACTTCCTCAGCCTTCATTGTGCTCATTAACACCCACCAACGATCCAGGGACAAACCTGCACCAAACACCACACGTTAATCAATGCTGAACTCTACCATCCAGAAGGACACAGGCAGCCAATACATGGGAACACCACCCACCTTGGCAAGTTCCTGTCTGAGGCACACGCCATCCCCAATCATTCCCTCAGTGTTGCTGTGTCAAAATCCCGGAACTTCCTTCCCAAAGAGTACTGAGGGTGTGCCAATGTCTCACAGACAACAGCAGGGATGAGCAAGAAGCTAGAACACCATAAGACGTAGGGAGGCCATTCAGTCCATCAAGCTGGCTTCATCATTCAGCGAACTGAGCAGATCACCCTCAACTGCCTTTTCCCTATAACCTTCGATTAACTTGCTTATTAAAAATCTGTCTGTCTCAGCCTCGAACTTCCTTTCGTGACCCAGCCCTCTGCAACAAAGCATTCCACGGATTCACTACCCTTAGAAGAAATTCCTTCTCATTTCTGTCCGAACTGGGTAACCCCTTGTGATTGGTTGGCTGGTTCGTTGTTCCACAGATGTTTCATTACCCTGCTGGGGAACATCATCAGTGCAGCCTCCGATGAAGAGCCGTTGTGTTTTCTCACCTGGTATTTAAACTCTGGTATCCACTGAGCTGGGTTACCTGACTTCCAGTTTTCCTTCGCAGTGAAGTATGTAAAGGGTCTAGCTCTATGTGTTTGTTGACGGCTTTCTTAGTGGAGAAACAGGCCTCTAGAAGTTCCCGTGCTTGTCTCTGCTTGGCCTGTCCCAGGATCCTGGTGTTGTCCCAAATAGAACTGGTGGTTCTCCCTGTCCATGTGGATGGAGATGAGTGAGTATTGGTCGTGTCTTTTTGTTGCTAGTTAGTGTTTGTGTACTCTTGCGGCTAATTTTCTTCCTGTCTGTCCAATGTAATGTTTGTCACAGTCTGTGCAGGGAATTTTGTATATAACGTTGATTCTGTCCCTAGTAAGTAAGGGTCTTTGGTTCGGTAACCCCTAATTCTGAGATTACCCACAAGGGAAACAACCTCTGCACATCTAACCTCAAATCCCACCTTGTACGTTGCCACAAGGTCACCTCTCATTCATCTGAACTCCAATGGAGTATAGGCCTAACCTACTCAACACCTGGTCTGAAGGCAAATCTCTTTGTAAATACAGGTTGAGCCACGAAAGGATAAAACTGAATTTCTTCTCCCCTCACCTGCACGGAGGCAAGTGGAGCAGGATCAGAGAGAGAACCCTGTGCTGCTGAGATTGCAGAGTCTGGGGTTTGGGTGACGTGACACCGACCTCACCACGGTATTTCAGAAAGGTTTGACGTGCCAAGCTTCCAAACAGTGAACGTCGCTCACACCGAAACCAAAATTGCTGCCAGATACTCAGCAGGTCTGGCAGCCTCTGCGGAGAGAGAAAGCGTGGTTAACATTTCGAGCCGTTGTCAGCATTTTGAAGACTGGACTCAAAATGTTAACACTGCTTTCTCTCTCCACAGAGGCTGCCGGACCCGCTGAGTTTCTCCAGCAATTTTTGCCTTTTGTTTCAAATTTCCAGCATCCTTAACATTTGTACGAGAGAACGTTGCTCTCTGTCCCAATCTCCCCACACACACACACACACACACACACACACCCCACACACACACACACACACTCAACTCACTCACACACACACACACACACTGAACTCACACACACACACACGCTGAACTCACACACACAAACGCTGAACTCACACACACAAACACACACACTGAACTCACACACGGAACTCACACACACACACACTGAACTCACACACACACACACACACACACACTGAACTCACACACACACACACTGAACTCACACATACACACACACTGAACTCACACATACACACACACTGAACTCACACACA